ATGGCATAAAATCGCCGATTTATGGGCTAATATTAATCTGGAAGCTTCGCGCCCACGGGAGGGAAACAACCGGAGACGTTAATGATTGACGCCGTTAAGGGGCGGTGGCTCGTTACGTGATGGGAACCGAACGGTAAGTCAACCCCGCCCGACGACGGAGGGGGATTAAGAGAGTAACATAATGCCGTTGCCCTCGCCTCCTCGCCCTTTTCTCCACTCCCCCGCCCCCCGCCCCACGCCCCATTGCCTCCTCTTCGACTGGATTGAACGAAGCTTTGGGTTCCGTCTTCTCGGAGGGAGAGAAGCAAGGGATCGATCGGGCCGGAGGCGATTCGTTTCGTGTCGTCGGATCGAGGGCGAGGGGGTTTTAAGGCGCCGTGCTCCCGGGTTTCCCCTTGGAGGTTTTGCCTTCCGGTCAAAGGAATACGAAGTACTCGAGCCTGCGTAGCCTTGGGTTCGTATGGATGTGGGCGTTTGTGCATTTGTCGGTGTTGGCTGTAGCTCGTCGGTGGTGATTTCTGTGGATGCTGTGGTAATAATCGTAGAGATTCATGAAACAGCGCCAATTTGGGACCTCTTTTTGGGCGTTAAAGCTTTGATTTTGGAGTCCTTTTCTTTGCGGTTTTGTTTAATTGATGTTCTTTTCTGATTTTTCTTCAGATATCTCTTCGGAAAAGGGCTTTCTTTTTGTGTGATTAGGGGTTATGATTTCTTTAGCTAGGTTTAGTCTCTGCGAAGGGGGAAAATTCCGTCCTTTTTGGTTTCAAGGCCTCCACTGCGACCCTAAACCCGCAAGAGCAAAAACTAGACTAGCCGTTAACTTTGAATCCGTTCCTCTTCCTTGGGACATGTCTCCTTTCTCATACCCGTGCTTGTTGCACTCCAGTTCGCACCTTGTGGCGTTGGATGAGGTTAGTCTACGTCTGCACCTAGTGCTCGGAGGCGCTATGAAGCGGGAGATTTTACATGAAGAAGAGCATGATTCGTTTTTATTGTTCCTTTCGTTTCTTCTGCCCACTTGTAAAGGCGTCAATTCTCATTTTTGAGGATTATTTTTGGTTGGTTGAGATAAGTCGTCCATGAACATTGAACATTTAGATGGTAGCACTTTTATTACTTCATTTTATAGGCTTCTCTGAGTTCATCCAATTATTTTTTTTAGGTTGAATTGGTTTCTTCCAAAAAACAAACAAAAAAGAAAATTTCATGATCAATTCCCTTGTTTTTTGGGTCTAATTATCAAGATTCCATGCTTAACACAGATTTAAGTGCATTGTAATGCACACAGGGAACATGTTTTAGATAAATTTGTCATTTTTGAAGTCAAACAAGGAAAATTGATTTGTTACTAGAATAAAGGTATAAACAGAGCAGCTATGTTGACTAATAGGCAACAATGAAGGATCAAGGATAATTTTCAAGCATATGTAGTCCAGTAACTTATCATCATGACAGCTATTTTTGAACTCCGCAATCTTTGACATATGGGCATGCTGTCAATGCCATATCTTTGTGGTTGACTTTCATTCTATTCCCTGCTTTAGGCGATTTATGTGGTTTTTCAATTCAGTTGTTTGTCTTCTTTGAACACTTACAATTGTGTCAATCTCATCTTTTGATGTCTTGTTACAAGTTGATCTTTAGACATTCAAGGCTTTAATGCACGGTTCCATTTTTGCAGCTCAAGTTTTATTGTGCATATTGGGTTTAGTATGTCAAAGCTTTCAAATTCCTAAATAATAAAAGAAGGAACCAGTAAGGTGTGAACTTTACTATTTCACCTTCTTCCGATACTTGTTCTGCTTTAGATCCTATCCTCTCAAAGATATCTAGAGAGAGTTTTTTTTTTTTGTTTCTGCAGGCAGTTGAACGCACTTCATCGGAGGCTTTTTGATATCACACCACTAGATATCTACTTCTGGCTCTGTTTTACTGCTTGAATTAGACTAGATGTCATTCCGTAGTATAGTTCGTGATGTCAGAGATGGCTTCGGGAGTTTCAGAGATGGCTTCGGGAGTTTATCAAGGCGGAGTTTTGATGTGAGGCTTTCAGGGCTAATTGGCCATCGGAGGGGGAAATCCCAATGCTCTGTGCAGGAACTACATGATCCATGTCCCGTGGTCCAGCAGAGTCGCTGGGCTAGCCTCCCTCCTGAGCTTCTTCGTGATGTGATTAAGAGACTGGAGGCAAGTGAAAGCACATGGCCATCGCGCAAGTATGTTGTTGCCTGTGCAGCTGTCTGCAGAACTTGGAGGGAGATGTGCAAAGAGATTGTTAAGAGTCCAGAGTTCAGCGGGAAACTCACTTTTCCAATTGCTTTGAAACAGGTAGTCTTTTTGCTCTCACCAGGTTTTCACAAAATTCAGCCGTTTGTGTCATTTATGATGTGTTAACTGAGATCCTTTATTTCAATGTAATTTATTTGGCAACAACAAATGCCTTCTTATCTGACAGGTAAACCTTGCTACCAAAAATGATCTCATAGGATATGGTGACATAGGAATTACTTACATGGTGATGATTTATTACCTTCTTAATGCCTGCTATCTTTTGCAGCCTGGATCTCGGGAAGGAACCATTCAATGTTATATTAAGAGGGATAAATCAAAGTTAACTTATCGTCTCTACTTATGTCTTAGCCCTTGTAAGTTTGGTTCCATTTCATCTATCTTAATTTCCAAAGGTGTTTACCGTTCTTTTGAATTATGTAAAGTTGGCTTCTCATCAGTTTTTCTGTCGGAGGAATCTTCTTGCATTAGCCATGTTTTTCCTGCCTGTTCAGATTACTAATCAGTTCCACTTGTCCTCCATCAACTATTCTCCATTAGATGTAACAGCAGCATTTACGGTTCCTCTTATCCTTTTCATGTACTGCACAAAGACCAAAAATAGTGCTGGGCAAGTTTGGCATTGTAGTTTATTGTTGCATTTGTTCTATGCACGTATGATCTCTCTCATTGCTTCTTGAGATCCCTTGTGTCAAGTTCTTGCCATTTGTCATGTGCATGGGCATGTAGAACACGTTTAATTTTTGTGTTACACACTCATTTGCGATTTATTCTCGCTGTAGCTGTTCTTGTTGAGACTGGGAAGTTCCTCCTATCAGCCAAAAGGAATCGTCGGACAACCTGTACCGAGTACATTATCTCAATGGATGCCGCCAATATATCAAGGTCAAGTTACAGCTATATTGGAAAGCTGAGGTACTGGATTTGAAGCCAAATTTTTTTTCCTTGTTAATACGTAATTGCCATAAACCTCAGTCTTAATGCTTTGTTCTGAGATCTATATTCTTCCTGCTGAAACTGTAGGTCAAATTTTCTTGGCACAAAATTTGTAATATATGACACTCAACCCCCATACAACGGGGCAGCCCTTTGTCCACCTGGTCGAACAAGCCACAGGTTCTCCAAGAAAGTCTCTCCTAAAGTCCCTTCTGGCAGCTACAGCATAGCTCAGGTTACCTATGAGCTGAATGTCCTTGGCACACGAGGGCCACGACGGATGCATTGCGTCATGTACTCCATACCTGCATCATCACTTGAACCTGGTCGCACAGTCCCTGGCCAACCTGAGAACCTCATTCCCCGTTCCCTGGAGGACTCGTTCCGCAGCATGTCCTTCTCGAAGTCCTCCATGATGGACCGTTCCATGGACTTTAACAGCTCACGCTTCTCCGATATTACTGGAGGAACTCAAGAGGGGGAAGAGGAGAATGAGATCAAAGAGAGGCCGCTGGTGCTACGAAACAAGCCTCCAAGGTGGCATGAGCAGCTGCAATGTTGGTGCCTCAACTTCCGCGGTCGAGTGACTGTAGCTTCGGTGAAGAACTTCCAGCTGATATCAGCGGTGCAGCCTGCTGCAGGAGCTCCGACACCATCGGAGCCACCAGCACCATCCGAGCATGATAAAATTATACTTCAGTTTGGCAAGGTGGCAAAGGATATGTTCACCATGGATTACAGGTATCCACTGTCCGCATTCCAGGCTTTTGCCATCTGTTTGAGCAGCTTCGACACCAAGTTGGCTTGTGAATAGTAGTACAGGATTGATTGGTGAAAAATGACTGAATAGATAGGATGAAATTTTCAAGATGTGTTTGCTGTTTCACGTCAATTCTTCCTGGTTGCTAGTGTGCAAGCTGTAACCTGCAACTGTGTTTTGTTTCAAGGTATATATATCCTTCGTCCATTAAAACAAACTGCCCTAATTGCTCCTGCAAGCTCTGCTGAATTAAGAAACTGGTAAAACCCATTCGGATTCTCTTAACTTCTTTTGTTTTGTGTTGATCCATTCGGTTGTGTGTGCAAATGTGTTTGATATATTGCATCGGTTGCTCTTTATAATGTGAAATCTGGCAACTTGAGTTTAGTTTTCAGTTCATTTGTGTGGCAAAATGAACTTGCTTCGCCCCCATTCTTTCATGACTTATCTGTAAATGGCTAGTCGGATATAGAAGGGGATCAGCCCTTGCTCTGCAAGATCGTGTCTCTTTTGGGTAATGTTGTTGGAATAGGCATTGTTGATCGCACCTTTGATATGGATGACATGATTTCTTTGGGCCCTGTGGATGGTGGCCCTTCTGAAAAAGAGACAGCTTGTGATTAATTCGATGGATGGCAGATTTATGGCAAGGGCAGAGCACAAAAACCAATAACGAGCAGCTGGTATGCTAATTGGCTTACCTACTACGACCCATAGCTCAAAGAGGATGGGATGCAATTCTTTGTTGGGGAAAAGGTGGAAGTATTTTTGAACTGCATATGGACTTGATGGCACATTGTTGATAGGAAATGCGTCGTTACTCACAAATTGGTGGTGTTAGTATGGAAGTCGACTGTCAATCCAAATTATTTGAACTCTGAATCTTTGTTCGGAGCAAATCTCTAGAAGAAAACAACCTATGCCCTCCTAAGTCTAGTACCCGATATATAGAATAACAAGTATCGAGAGGAGAGAGGAGAGAGAAGAACCTGTTGATAGGTGCCTTTTTATAGCCTTTTTTTTGTTTTTTCTGCCAAATTGCTGTCTACATGTCAAAGTCCTGATTGGGTGAATATTGCCCCAACTAGGTGGATAGAAAATGAAAACCTTCAATGTGACAAGAAATTAGCAGATTGCATAAAATGCTATATTATTAAAAATATTAAGGTGAAAATAAATGAAGAACAAACATGCATAACAGGGCAAGAAAGCTACCTGGGAATCCTCCCAAAACTGAACAGGAACGACACCTAAAAAGGGTGGGTTTGAATTAAAACCATGGAAACAAGTTTGAGAAATCAGATAGTCAGGGTTTGTGAGTGGTTAGCATCTGTTGCTTATTTATGTTTCTTTCTGTACGATACCACTCCTTTTAATGAAGATAATATAGCTAAACAATGAGATGATAACACAGCCATCATCCTTCATGACGCCCAAATGTTGTTCTACTACCTGTCCTGGATGGATGGGTTCTCTTTATACACTGCAAAAAAATCCACTCGAAAGGATCACTGGAAACAAATCTCCTGAGTCTAACTTTGATACCCCCTCTCTCTCGTTCTCTCTCTCTCTACCACTCCATAGAGCAAGTTCTTCGCAGAATTCGGCGTGGTTTTTTCATCTCAGTAACTGGTACTATGTTTTCCAAAAGCTGCAAAACAATTGTAAGCTATTAACTTCATTGTTACGATTGCAAACGTAATAGGCAAATGCTTAAAAAGAATATTTTTGACACTACTGGCCTTTAGTATGTTCTTGGGTAAATAGCTTTTGAGTTCGGATTCAACTAGCCCAACCAGACAGCTCAAGACAGATTAAGAGACATGATAAGTGCAAGCTTCATAAATTAGTAAATTTCATGATCTTGGATATAAGTGCATAGGTAAATATGAAGCAAAATGAACAAAATTCTAAATTACCGAAAAAAAGAACCAACATATTAGATGCCTAACCTCATCCTACTTCTACATATATTACTGACACTGTCACTTTTATCAATAGCAGTCAGATAGAAACCAGAAATATAAAGATATCATACAGAGGAGACCAATAAGGACTTAAGGTGAGCCCACACCACGGTTGACGTTACTGAGAAGGCAAGAGTCTTGGAACTAACATGTCAGAATATCAAATACAAATATAATGTAATAAATCAAAATTTTTATAAGATCAGAAATAAATCCACGACACATTAAAAAAATCCCAAAATGCTCATATTAAATATCTTAAAATGGAATTCTATGAGATTATTTTGGGCATTCATACCAAGAAGTACATATGCTTTCCATAGAAAGAACCTTTACATTGATGAAATGTTAAAGAAATCAAAATAGTTGCAAATATCTTATTAGCATACATGTGGTGTATATTAAATTTGTATATCATGTCACATAAATAAACATGGATGATCATGGTAAATCATGCAATAGCTTACATGTCTTAAGCTTCAGCCAAGTTTTAATATCGTGTTGGCAGATCATCTTTCACTAAATTATGAAATAGGCAAGTAACAGAAACATCATTGCAAGTGTATCCTTGTGCGTATCCTTGCACACACATACACAGGAAAGACAACCCATGGTGTTTTCATTATGTTTGGTTTGGTCGGTGAACTAACTTTCATAATTTAAGCAATTCCAAAGTTACAGGCTAGATAAAATAATAGAGTGAAATAAGAAAATAATAAATCAACCAAGAAAAGAAAAATTACATCAGGTTTTTACAGTCTTTTTTTTTTTTGCTTATTTAGAGAAACATAGTTTTGGTTTTCTTCACAATATGAGTAAAGTTAGTTTACAAGACATGTATTCTTACCTTTTCAATTTTTTGATGGTTTTGGATAGAGCTATCGACGTAAATGAAGTTAATTCACCAACCAATACATTGTACAACTACCATGTTATTTCACATGTTGAATATGTTGTCTTGAATAAAGCTAATAAACAATGTCATGCATCAAACTGAGACAAATAAGATACACATGTTAACTAATATGTAGCATACAAGTGCATGACCCAGTCTAAAAGAACCACTGACCCAATAACTCAGATGCCTTAAACTACATGGCATTTGTGCTTAAACCCAAGATTTCAATAGTAGGCATATTCGACCCAGTGAATCATTATATAGCTTCACCCACTTAGTATACAACTCTACCGTTAAGGCCCGAAGACTAATACAAAGCCTGAATCATCTCCTAAGCGGCATATGAGATATACATGCTCCTATTGTCACCATTAAAACTAGTTCAAGTAAAAACAAAAAAAATCAAAAGTTGTTTTCTATGAAAACATAGTAAGGTACTAAATTGGTTAGCTTACAGATACTAAAATTCCCATGCATCAGAATCAGTAGAATAAAATTATTCTTTTTTTATGAGCAGGGCCATAGACATAACATAATGGTTATAAATGTGTGTAAAAATAATTCAAATAGAATGAGTATCTTCAACATGGGACTTTAAACTGATAAACTCATTTGTGATGGGAGAAACAACAGGGAGCACTTTGATTTCTGTTGGATGCTCATACCTGCTTAACTCTCATCTTTTGCTGCTGCTCCTGCAAGTAATAGTTTAATCAGAACCCATTGTAAAACAGAACAACCTGAACATTTATATGAAAGCTGTATTTAGGTTTAAAGCCTTTAGATTGTTGCATAGCTCAAGATCATGTCATAGCATCAAGAACACTTAACTTATAGAAGCTGATCACCCATTCACTTAGATTTTGTTGCCCAAATCTTTGGTTACTATAACCAGAAGCTTGGTCTTATTAACACTCCCAGAAAAAGACACATCAAATCTTTTTCGGTAGTAAAACAGTATCAGCAAGTATTGCATGGTATATGTTGGTAACCATACAACATGATCAGGTAGTAGATATCGCCTTACCTGAGATCTCAATAGCTGTGCGTTTTCTTCCTCCAACTGTGCGACTAAAGATTCAAGCTCAGCAATATAAGCCTGAAAACAACAAATTCCGAAAGATCAAATATTTAGGTCGCTACTACTTAATTGAGCGATCAGTTCAATAGATCAAAGACCTGCTTCCTCTCCCTCGATCTAGCTGCGGACTCCCTGTTCTTTATCATCCTCTTCTGCCGCTGTAGCGCAGCCCTATCCACCGGATCCAACACCGATCTCTTCTTCCCTCTCCCTACCTTTCCAACACCCTCCGCTCCATTCCCAAGCCCCAAAGCAGGATTCTCCACGGGCAACTGTTGCGGCTGCCCCAACCGATCCCCCACAACCGGATGCGGCTGAAACGCCACCTGGCTCGATCCCGACGGAACGCCGACGTCGTCCTCCCCCACCGCCCCGGCCCTCGCCAGGAAGTCCTCCAGCGTCATCTCCGATCCGGGTCCGTCCCCGCCGTCCGCCTTCCGGCCGGCGGTGATCTCCCGCCACACCTCATCCACTGACTTCTCGCCGACGCTCTTCGGAAACGCGAAGCTACCCTGCCGGGACACCGAGACTCCACCCTCCGCACCGCCTGCGAAGGCCACGGGGTTGTCGCCGCATATGTTGCGGAAGAGGTCGTCCATGCTCATGGAGCCGAGGTTCTTGGTGAGCTCTCCGCCGCCGCTGATGGAGCTCTGGAGATCGGTGACTGGAAGGGAGCAGATGGAAGACTGGCGCGTCAGATCGGAATTCGCCGAGGAGGAGGACGCCATCACCCGCGAGGACGCCATGAACCGCGGATTTCGATCTCCAATCGCTGGCGATGGGGGTTAGTGTTAGGGTTTTCGGAGATCTATTTCTCCCTTCTCTCGATCTCTCACTCTTTCTCCGTCTGTCGGGAGAGGGGGAGAGAGAGAAAGCGCGAGCGAGAGAGGTCGTCGTCTCCGCGTGGTATTCGCGGAAGAGACGGACCGAACTCGAATTTATTAACCTTTTGAGGGTTTCTAAGAAAATGATATGCAAGGATTATAACCTCAAAGGAAAAATTGCATATATATCCCTTTAAAGCTAACAATTTACGCAATTGCTCTTTAAGTTTAACATGTATATCCCTAATGATATTAATTTCTTCAAAATATTATATACCATTCTTAAACTAACAATTTTCATACGTATAGATAAGTTTAGGAAAAGAAGAATATTTGAAAGCGATTGAAAATAATTTTTATGTTTAAAATCTTAATAACTTCTCGAACTTGGTTGTTGAATTTTATTTGATAAATGCTATATAATAAATGTGTTATTTTTGAATTAACATATGGCAGTCCTTTAGAGATAAACAGGACTCGAATTAGATAAATGTGAGGGGGTTTATTGCAAAAAGTAGTAATAACAACAAAAGAGTGCAACGCCGTAACTACGGACCGCCTTCGTACCACTCTCCTACCCTTTCGCAACAATCGATGGGCCCCGACGATAAGGTTCCAATCGAAAACGAGCACTAACGATGGGTGGGTTTCTTTGGCTGTCGCTGTTGTCGGTCGACTTTTATGGCGTTTACTTTCGACGGTAAGGAAGGGCTAACTAAGCAGGCCCGAAACTGTTTGGATGTTTCACGCCCCCGTAGACGATCTCCGCCACGAATCACCACGCGGGCCCCACCTTCCGTCGGTGAGTGAGGAGAAGGTCGTCGGGAAGTTCGCTGGGGTCGAATCCTTTGGCTCTCGCACTCCTAAAAAGAAAGCCTCTCTTTCCTCCCATGCTTTGATTAATAACGCAAGCGATAATAGAAAAGTGGGTGACAACAGCCTTTCCCGCAACTTTCGTGGGCCCCACACCAGGAAAGAGACAAAACTAAGTGGGTCCCACGAGAAGGTCGCGACCTTACCACGTTCTGTTTGGGACCTTATAGTCTTTTTAGTTGGGTGAGTGGGTGTTGTTCCGTTGGTAAGATGCCCGAAAATAAATAAATGAGGTATTGTCATGCAACGATACATCGACTACATAAATAATAAATTAGCATCCAATCGAACTGTGCATTTAATTTAAATTATATGTGGTTAAAATCTTTTAAGACTTCTCTTTTTCAAATTGGTCTCCCAATATATAATTTTATAATAGTTAAATAAATAATATGTGTATAAAATAATTTAAAAGTTATTTATCATCACTGCTACTGCTGCTGCTGCTGCTGTGATGACTTATAAGGAAGAATATAAAGGATAAAATTAAGCAAGGGAAGAAGAAATGTAAGCATACTGAATCATCTACCTAAAACAATGTAAAATCCCACTTATCAGAAAGTTATTGTCTGAGAAAATATGCAGTATCATGTAGAGAGAGAGAGAGAGAGAGAAGAAAAGGTGACACTGTATGAAACAAATCACACTACTGAAGTACAAACTGGACAGGAAAAACATCAAAAATTGATAGATCAAAGGCAAATATATATATATATTTTAATTAATTTATATTTAATTATTAGATCAATTATCTCATCAAACAAAAATTAGGCCAATATCTTATCAATTCAGACATGGATTATTCAGGAAATGAGACAGAAAAGTGGTAGGCAGTGATAGATTGAGGTTAAAGCTAAACAGCCATCACCATCTCTCAAAACATAGTCTTCCTGGGCACCGTGCACTGTTGGTCATCCTTTCCTGGGCAAGGAATTCTCCAGCTCATTCCAAACGCCATTGTGAGATAGCTGCAATGTCCAATGTCACTGTGACCTGTGCAGATAAGGGAGATGGAAGCTGACCTGCTGCCAACAACTTTGATTTTTTTGGCCATTCAAGACGTCTGTCTAGGATTCTATAATCTTCAAGAAACATCTGATACTTATCAGTCAATGGATCCCTCGATCAGAGGTTGATAGTGGAAGTTGATCTGATTCATTTTTTTTATAAAATATAGAAGGTCTTTTTTAAGAAGTGTTTTTTCTAGAAAGTGTTTTTGTTTTCAGGATTTTCAGTTATAATATTTTATACTATATTAAAATATATTCAGTAATACCAAAAAAATTATTACAAAATACTATAACATAATATTTTTTGTATTGCATTACATTTTTTTTGTTGCTATAAATATTATAAAATAGAATAAAAAGATTATAACATAAAATTTATTATATTATAATACAGTATAAAAACACTATAATTGAAACAATTTAGACCGGTCCACAACAAAAGGGAGGAAAAGTGAGGAAAACTGGATAGTTGACTGGCTAAATTAAGAATATTCTAGGTATTAAATATTATAGAAATATTAAAAATAAAAGTATTTCTAGCTTCAAAATAATTTTTTTTTAGAATTCATCCTGAAATATATAATAAATATTTAAGATTATTAAGGCGAAACTGAAACACATATGAGTCCATTGGTCTTAAGATATAGGTTGATATTATGAGCAATTATAGCCTAGAAAATCTGCAAAGCAATGAAAATAGCATAGGATCCTCTTCCAACACTTAATAGAGAATTTGTCCAAATTGAGGATAGGACGATATGGATAAATTATATATAAAAAATATGTTTTTAACATATGAGTAGGTTTCATTGATGGTATTGAAATCTTTGGTGTCTATAAGATTCTAGAAAAATATTCCATTTTGATATGGATCTTTTCATTTATATCTGATATTCCAATTGAATTGAGCTAACTGAGCTTTATTGAGTAGACATACTGCAATTTGTTTCCCCTCGTCAGACCCATACAATGGATTTGAACTCCTCAATATGGATTCACTATTTATCTAGTGGTGCCAATTCTAGTTGAGGAAAGGGGCTTAAGGAATTCATGGCTGCTATATTTTCTGGAGTTGGTACTGTTGATTGAATGATTTTGAGCCTATTAGAATTATCCTAAATGAATATTTCCATCTCTCAACTGAATTAGCTTCAGAAGAAAAATGTCACATTTAATCTCATAAAAGGATGCTTCACACTTTGTTAAACCACTATATATATATATATATATATATATGTCACATACAACTATTTTAAAAATATTTAATATCTTAAAATTAGTTTTTTAATGAACATAAATACTAATTTCTTTCTCCTTTCTTTTTCATCCTCTTCTTCTTTAATTTTTTTCTCACCGTTTTCTTCTTTCTTCTTCTTCATTTTCATCGAAAGACATCGTAAGATCATTATCGAAAGAGTCATAAATGAGATCATTATGAGCTATAGGAGTATAGGCTAGATGGGGATGATTAATTGATGGTAGGGGATATAGAAAAAAAGAAAAAAAAGAAAAATAAATAGTAAATATTACTTTATTAACTTTTTAAAATGATTATAAAATAGTAAAAAAAACTCTAAATAATAAACGCCTTAAAATTAAACTGCAATAGTGGTGCTGTCGCTGTTTGATAAGTTACATCGTAGGTTCAAATTATTTATCGTACGGATTTAGTCAGACGGTAGAAACGACGCGAAAACATTCGTGGAATAGGATCAAAGGGTGTGGATTGATTATACGACAGAGTCATCAATGTGCGAGAGGAGCAGCGTAACACTTGTTTGTCATCGGAGACACCGACCACCATAAAGAGCGTCCCCTATCTCATCCGTTAGGGTTCGAGGAACTTGCGAGGGCGACCGATTTCTAGGTCTCGATAAAAGAGAGAAGAGGACCAGTCTTGACACCCTATTCGAACCTTGTGCTCCCGATTCCGTCCCATTAACTCGCTTCCCGTGATCAAGAACCCTACGCCGGGATCCGCCTATCGGTCAGTTCAAGGTAAGCGCTGGCGATCCCATTTGTTCCTTTGCCGTGTCGTTTTTGGTGTCTTCGATGTCGGATTGCGCGGCGTGTTTCATCCCCATCGGTTGCATAAAATATGTGTATTTTCTCGTGGAATGGAAGATCAAAATTGATTATTGTTGCGTCTAGTGGGGAAGAGTTCTTGAGATCCTTCTGCTTTCTGGCTTGAGCTAGAGGGTGAGGTGTGACAATGACGGAGCCCTCCAGAGTCATTCACATCCGCAACGTTGGTCATGAGATATCCGAGGTAGCTTTCTGTTTCATGATAATGGTCTTCTAGGTGTTTAACCAAGGCATTCGATTGTCGTCTCTTGATATTGTTGAACCTGAGCTTCGTGCATTCTACAGAATGACCTTCTACAGTTAGTGCAGCCGTTTGGAGTTGTCACTAAGCTTGTGATGTTGCGAGCCAAAAACCAGGTTCTTTTTCCCTATTTTCGTTAGTGGCCTCCTTGTGTGCCCCATATGCAGCTTTGCCACTGTTTATCTTGTTTCTTTATGACAGGCTCTTCTTCAGATGCATGATTTGTCTTCCTCCATTAACGTTCTACAGTACTACACAAATGTCCAACCAAGTGTGAGGTGTGCACTTAAAGAGCTTTTTTCTTTTTCGTGTTATTGGGTACTTCTTATTGTTATTAACACCTTCAGAAGTTGATGCATAATCAGAATCTGTGTTGGATTCTGTTTTTTCTATGATAATGTTGCAACTTCTCTCTCCGTTGACTCTTATCTAAGGCTAATCAATGTATGCAATAATTGGACAATCTGACAAGTTTCATAATGTGACCTCCCTCAAAGTAAAGGGATTGACATATTGGCCGCTCAGAATTTTAATGGTAAATTAAAAACTTTTTATATGAAGGATGCCATTGCAAGTGGGTCTCGACTACATAGATACTTGCCAAGAAGTGAAAAATCATGTCAGTGCTTGATTCTGGATCGGGAATAAAGATCTACCATCTTTTTGCTTATTTCGAAGTGTGCATACTTGTTTTGTCAACATGAAATTTGGAACCCTTTAGGTAAGCAATTTCGAAGTGTGCATACTTGCTTATTTCGAAGTGTGCATACTTGTTTTGTCAACACACCCACTGTCGGTGGGTGTGTGGTCAGAAGGAGATTCAGTACAACTTGTTTATACAAATCAAATCTGGGATATAGGGAAATTGAAATTATTAGATACAAACTTTGGTAGACAGAAAAACCAAAATGGTAGGGTAACTATTGTTATTGATAAAAATTTGAAAGAGATGACAGTAGGTCGTTTAAAAAGTTGATGATAGAATGGTAGTGTCAAAACTTGAATGGGAGGAGAAATCTATTGCTCTTAATGTTCATGCTTCTCATTTTAGACTAAATGATGTTGCCAAATCAGAACTTTGAGAAATTGTTCAAAGAGGGCGATTTAAGCAGTGGTGTCAGTGAAGCATGTAGAATTCAAAGGAAATACAGGATAATAAATATAAAAAAAAAGAACAAAAGTAGGAGATATGTATTTAAATTGTTTTATGTCGTGATATTGTACTAGAAGATAAAAGGAATAATGAATACCATATAGGAATTGACATAATTATAGTCAAATAGATTCTTTTAAGTAGGAGCATAAAAATAGAATTTGATGGAAAAATTGTAAAGCATACCTTGATAAAGCATGACCTTGCATTATTTTGTGTGATACATTTTAAGGCATATCGTGACTGTTTTTCTTGACCCATTAAGTTATTGAGTTATCGTACACATGATTTGTTATTTGTCCAAAATTGTATATAATATTATGATACTTGTGATAAATACTTTTTTTCAGTTAAGTATCATAGATGGTTTTTAATTATTTAAAAGTATCAAAGATGATGGATCAACAACAGTATCGGCCACATCAACACTCAGTATGATATGATCCTGGTATCATATCATTCTAGAGAGAGATTGGGTCTGGTATACACTGTGAAAATCCTTGCTATAAACAATGGAGGCAACCAATGATCCGTCTTGTTTGAAGTCTAATGAGAAAGGTGCACTCTGTCTCTCACCTTAAGGCTTCATAGCACGAATGCCTGTGTTGTGTGCCCTTTTAAAAGCCCACGTGCCTATTAACAGAATTATCAAGCAACACCTGAATAAATTTACATTGTTCCAAGCACCCTTTTAAGGCGGTCGATTTGTCACCACTAGTCAATTTAGCTACTTTCTAATCTCCAACAATCCAAACCAATGTTTAGGAAGTTAACTAAAACAGTTTGTAGACCATTGCTGACTTGGCCAGCTCAGTGTCAAAACAGTGATGAATAAAATGGTGCTGGTGAGATGGCCTAGGCATCCTGAGACCTATACACTGCGTCACTATTAGCCGGAGCATCAAAACGTATTACTTATGACAGCAACGTCTTACCCTTGTTCTACTGCACCATATCTGGTTAAAAATTTACATCATTTTTGTGTCATTTTGATATTTTCTATATAGCTCATTGTGGAGGCCGTCATGCATGTATACATCACTGTATTTTGAACCAGTTTATGGTACATTATTGTTCATCATTGTAATGTGTTTCTTTTTCTAGATAATAAGTTTTATTCAGTGACTAGCTTGTTCTTCATATGTATGAATCATTAAAATCTAAAAGAGAATGACTATTTTAGTTCTTACTCTAAGAAGGGCCCTGCTCTCTGTTCCTTTTTGAGTTTCTGTGTTTCTATGGTTTTACAGAGGTTTCTTGAATTTTAATCATATCATTTCAGGGGGAGAAATGTTTATATACAATTTTCTTCGCATCAAGAACTGACAACAGCAGACCAGAACTCTCAAGGGCGGAAAGGTGACCAGGTGTGTACTCTGATGACTACATTATACTTGCCTGTATGTGATATCTCACATCTGAATTAAATATTTTTATCTACAATGTCAGTCATCTTAATCACTGTTAATTTTTCTTGACTGTTCTTTGAAGTCAGAATATTTCATGTACGTAAGTTTTGCATATCTATCCACTCGAACTGCAGTCAAGATCAACTATGCTGTGATTGTCATAATCTTGATGCCACTTTTTCTTAATCAAATTTATGTGATGTTTGTCAGATCAAGGTACATCAAGCAAGTTTTAGGTTTCAATTAATTCTTATATAAAGTCCTCCAAAATTAATTTTGGTCTGTTATTTCTTTTCTTTCTCCTGCTTCCTTTTCTTAAATTTTGGGACTATACTTTCATATCATATTATAACAAGACAAACATGATGTATGCTGCGGTTTCGGTTCTCTCATTGCTTATGTCTGGCAGCATTTGTCGAAGTCAGAATAATCCGATAGCTTTGTTTGATGAAGAACCTTAAGCTGGTTATTGTGAAGATGTGGACATGACACTTGATCGAGAATGAAATTTCTTTGCAGGGCTCATGCCTGTTTCTTGCTTTCCTCTGTTTTTCTTTTTAATTTTTTTCTTTGTCCCCTGAGCTATTTGTCTTATAACCCAGTGTCTTTCTCATTTTTGCTAAACCAAGCAGCTGGTATTTGCTTGTTAAAGTTAATTAACCAATTACATGGTTAGGTTCATTGCTTTCCTGGGCTATACCTAGTGGTTCTATATCAGCTTGGTGCTCAAAAGATGCAGTTAAGTGTCTTTGGTCCAACAAAGACATCAATTTGGATCAAAATCTGGCATTTGAATAATTACTATGTATCTCAATCAAAGCTGATGTTAATTTAGTTGTAGTTTATATCATTAGTGCCTAATCTTATTTGTACTTTAATTTCAGGGGCACTTCCAATCAATGGAGAAATTGAAGCAAAATTACAAAAGAGATGTGATGTTGAAGAATTGTTGCTTAGATAGTTTATTTCTAATACATTGTATATTGAAGAATAAAATGATACTGATTATGACTGGAATGATTTGGATCAGATCGAATGACCTTGGTTTTGGAAAATATTATATTTTTGAAAGATTTATCTATTGAAATTTAGTCAATATTATAGAAATTTCATCAGTTGGATAGATAGTTACTGGAAGCTTGAAGATTCTTTGTGGAAACTGATTAAATCTAATGATAACAGTTACAAAGCATTAACTGTCAAAGTTGAAATGTAAATCAGAGCAAGCAAAATCAAAGTCCAAAGGAACCTTATGCCTCCGACCTTCTTGATCAAATTGTCAGTCATTGTCGTTTGAGGGTTTAAAATATGTAGAACAATGTTTTTAAAAGCACTAGGTGCTTGCCCGAGCGGAGCGAGGCGCTCCAGAATATTAAGATATAAAAAATATATATTATGATTAATAAATATGATCATAAAAATAAAAATGTCAATCAAATTAAAATCGTATGAAGTAATCGACCAAGAATAGAGGGAATTAAGAGGAGTAATCAGCAGCAATGGTGGAAGGTGGGAGAAGGAGAGGGTGGCGGGCGAAGTTGCGTACTAAGGTGGCAGTGACATACGTAGGGTTTCACTTTGGAAGATAAATTGCGTCGGGGTTGGATTTTGTGTTAGGGCATATGAGTTGGTTCGATTGAACCAACTTTCTTGTTCGATCGATCTAGGCATGAATCCAGAGCCATCTTCACTCGGATGCTCACCCAAGGTGCTTGAGCTCAAGCGAGCTCTTGGGCAACACTAAATCAAAATGCCTCGCTTGGAGGTTTTGCGAGGTGCATTGGCCTTGCCTCGCTCGAGCGCCTCAGCGTCTTTTGAAAAGACTTGCTTGGTTCGATTGAACCAACGTGCAAGTTGGTTCAATTGAACCAACTTGCTTGTTTGATCGATCTAGGCATGATCCAGATCCATCTTCACTTGGAAGCTCACCCGAGCTTAGGCGAGCTCTTGGGCAAACACTAAATCGAAATGCCTCGCTCGGAGGTTTTGCAAGGTGTGTGGGCCTTGCCTTGCCCAAGGGCCTGAGCGTCTTTTGAAAAGACTGACCCAAAATACCTCGAGGTCAAGATCTATATTACATGAGCGATCAATTCAGGCTGGGTCGGGTTGCATTAGTCGAGTTAAGTTTTAATTGGGGCATATGCTTGTTGAGGATTCGGTTCTGCTGTTAGGTTTACTTTTTCTTGTTATTTTTGGATACTTTGTTAGGACTTTGCAATTATTTATGACTTTTTAATCCTTCTGGAGTTTGGATTAGAGCGCAATCATAGGGGATCTTTGTAGGAGATCTAATTAACCATAGGAAAATTATATAGGAAAAAATATCTGGTCAGTTTGTTGTATTTTGCTGTATTGTTTTCATCATCTCTAGGAACTGTTTTGAGGAGTCACTCAAGGGTATGACAATCTAAGGTCAATTGGATGAAGTAAAAGCATACTAAATTTATATGAACTTATGTGTGAATGGTATATGGCTCGCTTAAAAATAAGTTGTCTTTCCTGAATATAGCATCTTCTTTACATTGTTCACTTCTGTTCATTCTACTATAATTAAATGAATATTTTTTTTGTCTTATTCTCTCTCTAGAACTATATGTTTCTCTACTTATTTTTCTCTCTTTCTTTCTCTCTTCCCATTATCTTTGATGGCTTGCTGTTGGGCACTCAGGATTCACAACCCAATCGAATCCTCTTAGTTACAATTCATCACATGCTCTATCCTATCACAGTGGAAGTGCTCCATCAAGTGTTTTCTCCTTATGGATTTGTGGAGAAAATTGTCACATTCCAGAAGTCGGCTGGTCAGCTTCTTCAGCTTTCCTCTCTGAAATTTGGTCTTTCAGATTTTAATAATGAGTTTATAACACTATGTTTGGCTGTACTTGTTAGAAGTTTCTCTTTGTTCACTTTATTAACCTATTTCTTTTTTAGGATAATTAATTTTCTTTATTTGTTTATTAGTAGAACTAATTGAATTGAATTGTTCATATTTTCTTGTTATTTATACTAAACTTTCATAAACTTAAGTAACCTACCAATTTCCATTTTGTAGGTTTTCAGTCTCTTATCCAGTATCAGTCACAGCAGAGTGCCATGCAAGCAAGAAGTTCTTTGCAAGTATGTATTCACTAAAATTTTGTTATGTTTACACGTCTTTGTATGTGCTGATTTTGCTATGGTTTTTCATTTATCTAGGGACGCAACATATATGATGGCTGCTGTCAACTAGATATACAGTTTTCAAAGTTAGTTTCAGTCAGAACTTTATGTTGTCTTGGTTTTGTTGTACTACCTTTTCTTTAAATGTCTTACATGTTTGCTTTTCCTGTTCAAATCCAGTCTCAGTGAGTTGCAAGTCAATTACAACAATGAGAGGTCTAGGTATGTGATTGCACCTTCTGCTGTATCTGTTCCTGAAAAATATTTTATTTATTTGCCTTCAAGTGGCACCACAATAGAAAATAGTTTAGTAATTATCCGTAAAAAAAACTGATTTCAGCTGATTAGTTGGCTAGCTAAACTAATATTTATTGTTCCTTCTGAGTATAAGAGACTTCAATAAATTCTTTATAATGTCCTTGTAAGATATATGTTCAAACCCTGTAGATGATATCTCCCAACAAAAAATGTGTATCCACTAGCAACATTCCCAAATGAATTTACTTTGCCAAACACATTCTTATTATACAAGTTTTTTACTATTTATCTGTCATTGAGCATATAATTTGAGTCTGAAGTGCTCCATTTTTTATTTCGTTGAATATTTTTTTTGTACAAGTTTGATAGAATCTTGACCCTATGAAACATTTTAGACCAAGTTTTCTTGATTGGGTTACACTGTTACAAACTTTTTCAAGATATCCACTGTTCATGAGTCTTCCAGTTTCTGTCATAATTACTTATCCCGAGGTTTAACCTTGTCTTACAATTTTTTCACTTAGAGCCCTGTTTATTTAGGCCCATGTTTTTATTCCTTAATCCTTTTTTTATCACCTTGCTACCCTCCCAGTCTTGTACTTTTCAATATGCACATTGACCCTGAAAATGGATGACTACACTCTGATAGTAGCATACATCTTGATCCCACGACTCTATCCTGTTGGTATTACACGTTATACAGCTGAGAATGGTAGCCGATGCTCAAAGCTATGTTACCTCTTTTTTAAAATACTTGTCTGAAACATGCCCTTTGTGTTCAGAGATTTCACAAATCCATCTTTGCCTACTGAACAGAGAGGTAGAACTTCGCAAGTAAGTTGCTTCTCTTTGTCTCATCTTGTATGACAATTTTCTATAACTGGAATAGACCATGTAATGCCTACTTTAAAGAATCATTTTCTGATAATGTCATTTTTCTTTGCTATGTTTTGTGCAACAGCATGGCTATGGTGACACTGGAAGTCTCTATGCTCTCCAATCATCTGGTGCCAGAGGTCCATATTTTATGATTCTGAGTTTCTATTGCGTAACATAAACTGCTATTTGTTTACTGATTACTCTTTTTTTTCCCCTTTTCCTTTTCTTGTCTCAGTTGCATTTCCTCAGGTGAGAGCTATGGCCTTTGCCCGTGCATGGCTTTGTCCTATTTTAATTTGTTAACATATTTTATGGGTGGTTGATATGATATTTTTGATTGTTGATATTAGCAGTTTATCAAATTATCTCCTTCATGGCATTGAATGCTAATATTCATATTTGGCACTAACTTGATTATATTATTAGATGGGTAATGCTGCTGCAATTGCAGCTGCTTTTGGCGGAGGTTTGCCTCCTGGAGTAACTGGTACTAATGACAGGTGCACAATCTTAGTGACTAACTTAAACCCTGATGTAAGTTTTCATCCTTGCCTGATGCTTCCGTCCTAGAATAAATCATGCAATTCATTTACTCCATCAATTTTACTTTTGCTGCAGAAAATTGATGAAGACAAGCTTTTCAATTTGTTCTCAGTTTATGGCAATATTGTAAGAATAAAGCTGCTGCGCAATAAACCAGATCATGCACTTGTTCAGATGGCAGATGGGTTTCAGGCAGAATTAGCTGTACACTTCTTGAAGGTTTGCTTGTGCTTTATCGACCTTAATTGTTGTATTAATTTCCATAGTTATAGTTGGTTGAATGCTGTCCTCATTCTTGTCATGTGTGCTTTTACGTGACACATCAAAATTCTCCTGCAACAGATTTATGTTTTTAGCAGGACTCCTTGCTTTAGGAATGCAATCTATTTAATATTCCCTGCATCTTTATGATAATTGTAAATGCAGCATTTTTTTTGTATGATATCTTTCTCAACATGTTGGATCCTGGTTGAGTACATGCAGTGTATCATGTTATGCTTGAAACCATGCTAAAGTCGATTGAAGCAAACCCCTTGGATACTTCCATTGATGTTATGTTCTGCATTAGGTTCTCATAAGAATGTTGAATCCGTTTTGCTTTTGCCATGATTTATGCACCAACGATGTTTATGGTTCAATCTAGTGTTTTTAAAAGCACTAGGCGGAGGCCCCGAAACAGTCGAAGCACTAGGCGCTTGCCTAGGCACCTATCCGAATGAAGCAAGGCGCTCCAAAATATTAAAATTTTAAAAATATATATTATGATTAATAAATATGATCATAAAAATAAAAATGACACAATATGATTTCTACTAATGGAGACTTATGCTAACTAGTTCTAAAGAGTTTATCAATATAGTGCTAAACAATTCTAATCAATGCTAAATAGTTCTAAAGAAGGAATTGAGAAGAGGATTAATCGGTGGGTTATGGAGGAAGGTGGGGGAAGGAGAGGGCGATGGATGAAGTTGCTAACAATGGTGGCAGACAAAGCCACGAACGAAGGCGATGGCTGCTGCGGACGTAGGGTTTCACTTTGGGTTTGTCTCACTGGGTCGAGCGTGGGGGTGCAAGTTTTGTGTTAGGGTACATTTAGTTGGTTCAATTGAACCAACTTTCTTGTTCAATCGAACCAAGCTCGAACCCTAACCCATCTTCAATTGGGCACTCGCTCGAGTGACGCATGGGTTTAGGCTAGCGCTCGAGTGGTGTTTCATCGAAACGCCTCGCTAAGAGGTTTTGCGAGGCATTCAAGCCTCACCTTGTCTTGCCCGAGCATCTTTTGAAAACACTGGTTCAATCTGATTTCATGAAATGTTATATCGTCAAGATGTTCTGCTGGATTTTGCAGTTGATGCCCTATTATCGACGAGGTTTGAGGCTTGCACAGTTTCTTGGAAACATCTAGTTGCATTTTTTATGTTTCTGTTGGACATAAGGGAAAAAAAATCATTTATGAGAGTATAGGCTATATATGCTTGGAAGTCTCCTTTGTCAATTTCACTTGGTCGATGTACCATTGCTGGACAAACAAACTGAAGGCATATTTCTGCATTTTTATACCATTGTTGGACAAACTACTGACATATTTCGGCTTCCTTTTCTGATTGCAGGGAGCATTGTTGTTTGGGAACAGGTTGGAGCTAAATTTCTCCAAATATCCAAACATAACGCCAGCACCTGACACCCACGAATATGCTGGGTCCAGCCTTAACCGCTTCAACAACAATGCAGCGAAGAACTATAAGTATTGTTGTTCCCCGACGAAGATGATCCATTTGTCGTCCCTTCCGCAAGACATAACTGAGGATGAGATTTTAACCCATCTGGAGGAGCACGGTACAATCATGAACACAAAGCTCTTCGAGGTGAATGGAAAAAGGCAAGCTCTGGTCATGTTTGAAAACGAGGAACAGGCTACCGAGGCTCTGGTCTGCAAGCATGCAAGCACCATTGACCGGTCAACCATCCGGATTTCCTTCTCCCAATTACAGAGCATTTAGACAGAGTCCTTGTTCATGCTTCATGTGAGGGTGCAGCTTCTCGGTCATTATGCTTGTACTTGATATTTGCCAAATGTTGATGGATAATGGACTTGTGCATGTATCTTTAGTTAAATTCAAGCTTCTGTGATATGAAGGATACTCTGATGCGAGTTTCGAGATTCAAGCAATAGGGGGAGTGCCATAAATTGGGCTTGCTTTGATGGATTGGCAGCAGGGAGACAAGAAGCTCGTGCTGAAGAGCTCGGTGGGTTTTTCTTCATTTAAATGCATTTTCTGCATCTTTGAAACGAAGGATTGGCACGTGTTATCCATTCCCATTTAGCTGCTGATATGACGAATATTCTACGGCATGTGGACCAGAGACTTACATCCTACGACGATCACTAAGGTGAAATTGCTCATGGACGCATCACCGCAGTCTCGAGACGACAAGATTCTTAAGGAGTATTTTTTCTGTGATAATCTACATTTGAACGATCTTCTCAATGACACAGTCACTGCTATTTTATCATCAATAAAATGGCCCTTTGTAAATATTATGGGCGGTAAAATACATTTTCTTCCTCAAATAAATCATAACCAATACAAAGCCCACAGGCCCGATGTTAAAACTCCAAGATTAGATTTAAGGTTAATTACATATTATCTTGTACTTAATTATATTTAGTAATAATATCTTGGTTTCAATACTCTAAAAAGATCATGTTGAGATTTATATTATTATGAAAGTAAAATATTTAATCATATATCTTCTCATGCCAATAATTTTATCGACCGAAGATGTCATTCGTGTTGTCATGGGTAGAAAATAACATTAAAATCATGGATTCATCCTTCCCTCCACCTTCACTATATCCTTCCGGACAGCCTACTTAGAGAAGAAAACTTCAATTAAATGTCGAAAGCTTGTTCGTCAAAACGAGCTCGTTGAGAGTAAATGTCATCTTGCTGATGCTACTTGGAAGGCAGTCATGGATTTTAGTATTGGCGATGATAATAACGAAGGCTTTGGAGTTGCCAAAGTTGTCGGGCATTCGAGAGCTGAAATAGTTATCATTCAAGAATATGGTGTTAAGCTCCTTGTCGAAGAGCATCAGTGGTAGCACACTCTCAAAGTCATTAAATTAAAGATCGAGGTACTTAAATGATGGTAGGTGAAGGTACTGTGATAGCCACACACGTTGATGTCAACATAATTATCGGTGAAGTTATGAGGGTAAAAGTACATAACCTTCTTCCATGCCCTTAGAGCGACGTAGGCATGATGGAGGCTAGGATTGGTGATGGCGACACTGATCTCAATATCAAACTCGAAGTCGTTGGAGATGTATCCCTTCTCTAAGAGGGTCAAAGAGTTGATGGTGCATGATGTAGGTAGCCTTGGCATCGGAGAGGATCGAGAAAAAGTGTGAGAGAGAAGAGAAATAAAGCGCAAAATCGAAGGGCAGGACAAAGTCAAAGAAGAACAACAAAAGCTTTTATAAAAAGGTAAATTACCTTTTTATCTTTTTTTTAGCATCAATTTTTACACAACAACATGTGTTATATTCTGTTAGTAGAGTTAACCGTCGAAAAAGAAACGAGATTAAATATTATACTTTTATAAGTTTAGAAATCATAATATATTTTTTTAAAATATGAAAATCAAGATGCTAAACATAATTAATTACAGCAGATAATTAATAATTAACGCTCAGATTTACTAGCTAAATCAATCGATTGACCACACTGACTAAGTTGTTGACAAGCAATACGATACCATCCAAATATTAAATGTCCACTCTTCACGTCGATATGTCGGAACATGACACTCATCCTCCGGCAACTCAGACCCTACGTTCGGATTTAGCTTTCAATACTCATGAGAAAAACCACAAACCGCACAAGCTTATAAATATTCCAAAGGCGTTATATTTGGCATAAGTGTAGCAATCATGCAGCTTGTCTTCCATCGATTAAATCCTTTCTTTAACTTGTGCACCTTTTTTTTCTAGCCATACTACATCTTTGACGTTTGAAGTTTGAACTTCCAAAATCCAGCAAAAGAACAAGCACAAATAAGAGTTCGATTTAGAGACATCTTTGACGTTTGAACTTCCAAAATCTAGCAAAAAAAGGACAAGCACAAATAAGAGTTTGATTTAGAGACATCTTTGACGTTTGAAGTTTGAACATCCAAAATCTAGCAAAAGGACAAGTACAAATAAGGTTATGATTTAGAGTCAATAATAAATAACTTCCTCCATTAGAATGAATATGGATTGAATCGAGCAAATATCATTCAAGATAAAACCTTCTTATATTGATAAATATCAAGAGAATCGAATGACATATATTTGAATCTAATCGACAATCTAGTAACTTAAGTTTAAAAATTGAATTGATATCTGACTCAATATATGTTCTTACTTCATTATCGATTGAAGGTAAAAAAAGAATTTGATTGATTTACAGAGTCATATGATTCAAGTCAGATCACGACATAATAACTCATTAATAATGAAACTAGTAGTAGGTATAAGTTGCAATGAGTAGATGAAGTCATATGAAAGTTCCTTTGTCTCCGTTCAACAATGATTGCAATTTATTTTGTCCAGTGTGGATCAGTGGATGTGACAGATCGATCTTCTTGCAAACCATCTTCCCACACATGGCAGGCTGAGAGCCGGCAGCAGATGCAACGCTGTCAAATCGCTGGTGCAGCCAACCATATCCGTGGCTGTTCCTATGAGCAAGAAATGCAAAGCGCAAAAGCACAAACATGCAAACACGGTGGTATGGTAACACAAAGTTGGCATTCAGCAATCGACAGACATGCAGATGACTACAAATGGAACAACTTAGTCGAAGGAAACATGAGACTTGTTGAGTTTAATGTTTGTCCTAATATATATTTTTACTTGCAGGAAGAATCGTACATCTTCCGAGTAAATCCGTATCATTCTAATGCATTATGCATATTTGGATCCCAAACAACGACAAGCTACCCATCAGCATAAGTTTTATGAAACATCAGGAAGCATATCATTTAACGATTGTCTCGAAGGTTTGCTAAGTTAAGAGGTAATTATAGATTACTTTCTATAGTTATCTAAGATTAGTATTTTGATTACTATATTTCAAAAAGTAACATTGAAATTTTTATACTTATAAAAATAAAATATTTAATCCTAATTATCCTCACGTCGTTAATTTCGACGAAAAAAAATATATTTTTTATTTACCACCAGCGATGTTAGAGGCGTGTAAGGCTAACGATGAGGTTGGTGCCCGGATCTCCTTTGGAACACCACCCTCACATGCCGACCTCGTGTCATCTTCTTCTCATACCACGTCCTGCATCACAATAAGTAAAGACTTTAACTTATCATGTCATGAAATTCTAACGCTCCCTTATGCAACAGGACTTCACGAGGGAGTCCTACGGTGAAGTGTAGGAGGCACCTCCCACCATCGCATCCGTCTCCAACATGCATGATATGATTGACGAGATTAAAAACTATTCTGTGCACCTCCTTGTAGTAAGTCTCATTCCCCTTTCGCCTCATACACCATCAGCCTCGCGTGCCACTGACCTTACACACCATTGATGTCGTCGGTGGTCTATCGTATGCAAAAGAGGAAAGCATAAGTTTCTATAAAATTATTTTTTTACCATTGAGGTTAAATATTTCACTTTCATAAACGTAAAAATTTAAATATTACTTTGTAAAGTACGGAGACCAAGATACTAATTCTAGATAATTACAAATGGTGTAATATATAATTACCCCCTAAGTCAAAGGAGATTACACCGAGTTAATAAAATTTTTACCTTCAACAAATACATACAAGAAAACTCGAAACATTCCATTAGACCTTATGAGTCACCGTTGATCCTCGTCGGCACAAGCGTGCAGCCTGCAAGGAATTATCATATTTGAAAGTCCCCACACACTTTTGTCCCTTCGATGATTTGATCTCGATCGATATCACATTACAAGTATTCATCGACACACCCAATAGGAAACTCAGACCTTTTAAATATCACAGAATCAATCAATGCCATCCAAGGCACAAGCAAACGAGCTCGAAGAAATTCTTGGGCTTAAGACTAATTAATCCCAAAATATGTCTCTATGATAGGGATAACACTTGGGCTTAAGACTAATTAATAATGATGAAAGGATAAAAAGAAAAAAAATTAATAATTTCTAACACTACTTTTACAATTTTACAAACGTAAATTAGAAAACACTAGTCAAAGTAAATCATATTTTTCAAGGAATTACAGAGGAAATAATAATGCCAAAGTAGTTTTCATTCATTCTCACATACAGAATGCTGAAAGATAACGTCTCTGTCCGATAACACAAATCTATCATCTCCATTCTCACATATAGAATGTCGAAAGGATGAGTAGATTAGGGGGTCATGAGATATTATAGATCAAGTCGATCAAAGAAACGAATGATAAAATATAAAATAAATATAAATAATTTAACACAATTCTGATTACCATACAAACATCATTTCTATGTTTACGGAAATCGTAGATAGGTGAGTCACAATCTGTGAATTTACTCAAATATAACAAAAAAAAATAAAAAATTACAGAACTATCCCTGTTGACTAAAGTTGCTCGGGTGACTTCCTCTTCTGCCCTGCGGTTTGCTGCCACGAGCACAGTGGCCGGCCGGCGACGAAATCGACGACCGGACGTCGGAGACGAGGATGAGGCTGTACTTGGTCGGATTTGGGCTGAAACAGATCTCTCTCGGCGTCTTCCTTACGCTTCTTCTTCTTTTGTTCCCCAAAGCTCCATTTATAGGATCGAGGGAAGGTGGAGGGCTCGCTGGAGGTTACGCCCGCCAGCGGAGAGATGTGCGGCTGCACGTGGCGGAGGGGCGGCGCTGGCTGGGGTGAGAACTGCGGGCAGCGGCGCAGGCGCCAGCAGCAATAAAAGCCGCGGTGGGCGACGCTGGCTGCGGGCGATGCTGGTGACTGCGCTGGCGGCGGCGCGGGTCGCCGTGATGACCGCGGCGTGAAACGCTCCCGCGTGCGGCGGTGCGCTGTGTGAACGTAGGCTTGCGATTGTGGCCGCGCGGTGAGAAACTTAGCGCCGGCGAGAGGCGCGGACGGTTTCTCACGTGACTCGGTCCGGTTCAGT